AAATAGAAATGGAGAAGGGAGCAGTTGGAGTAATGGCTATGTCACTGGACTCCCATGTAGCCAACCATGGTTTGAGTCCTGGACCCGGCACTTGTGTGTGTGTGCCTAAGATCCCGAGAGAAGAATGGAGAAGGGATTGTGGCGTGGCCATCCCCTCTGGGGGGTGATTTCTCACTTTCTATCTCTCTGTCTCTCTCTGTCTTTCTGGCGAGCATATGGGCCCTGTAGCAAAAACCTCTTCAAAAAGAAATAGAGGAGGTAGGGACCAGCAATTAGCATAATGGCTATGTCGCTGGACTCCCACGTAGTCGACCGCGGTTCACGTCCCGGACCCGGTGGCTTAAACTCACCCCGGGCACGTGTGCATGCGTGCCCAAGATCCTGAGAGGAGAATGGAGGAGAAGGGATTGCAGTGTGGCCATCCCCCCTGGGGGGTGATTTCTTGCTTTCTATCTCTCTGTCTCTCTCTGTCTGTCTGGCGAGCGCACGTGCCCTATAGCAAAAACCTCTCCAAAAAAAAGAAATAGAGGAGGAGAACTTTTTATACTTTTTAAAAAGAATTATCTATTCAATTTTTAAATTTTATTTATTTATTTTAATCTGCTATAGAGCATGAGAGAGAGAGAAAGTGAGAAAGCAAGCCAACAGGTCTGGGATTTGAACTGTGATCAGTCATGTGAGAATCCAGCACTCTCACCACCATACCACCTGCTGGCCCCTGTACTTTATTTTAAAACCACATGAATGTATTATCTATTCAACTTTTTGAATTAATTGAACTTTTTTTCCTTTTTTTAAGTTTTTGTCATAGAGCGCATACACTCACCAGAGAGAGCCAGAGCAAGGGGAAGCGGAGAATCACCCCGGGGGGACGGCCATGCCACAGCCCCTTCTCCATTCTCTAGGGATTCTGAGTACGCACACACACGGCCTGACGTGCTTGTCAAGCCAAGCCACTGGTCTGGGGCTCAAACCGTTTTTGGCTATGTAAGAGTCCAGTGCCTTAACCCTCGGGCCACCTGCTTGAATTTTGACAAAAACATCCCATGGTGGACGGCTCCACGGCCAGGTAGTTAAGGCAGCTGGATCCCACCTGACCAACCCGCTGGTTTGAGTCTGGACCCAGCAGCTTGAGAAAGACGTCAGACGCGTGTGCGTGCATGCCCCAAATTCTGACAGGATGGGCAAAGGGGGGAGAAGGGACTGTGGCATGACCATTCCCCATGGAGGGTGCTCCCTTCTCCTCTCAGGCTCACTCTGGTGTGCATGCATGCCCCGGTAAAAAGTAAGGAAAAACATATCCCATGGGAAAAGGAACCAGGGACTCACTCCCACCAGTCACAGGGTGAAGTCGTACTTGTCATTCACTCCTTCGGCGATGCAGCGGTCAGGAGGCGCCCACAGCAGTGACTGCCAGCAAGCTGCTGCAGACGGTGTGCAGGGCACGCGCACTGTCACACATTAGGTCCTTTCGTCCCAGCACCCCACAGGGCACGGGTCCAACATGGCGGAAGAGAAGGCTGCTCTTGCCTGATGTCTAGGCCCCGCCCTTCCAGGCCAGGCCAGGTCTGCCTCTAGCACCTCGAGGTCTAGTGAGGGAGATAAGACCTGCAGGTTGGCTGTCACAGGCTAAACAGGGCCAGGAGCAGTGGAGCACGATTCCTGAGGATCTGGGGACCATGAGCAAACTCCCACCACACCCTTGACGGCCCAGGGAGGCCCGTACGTGCCGTGGAACTCTGGGGCGCCTGTGTGGGAGACAACTCCTGCAGCCCCCAAACAAGGCCAACAAAGGCTGCCCCGCGCTCTCCAGGAGAGATCCGACAACAGCCCGGCTCGTCTGATCAGTGTAGACAGCCCTTCTAGACTTTGAAGCCTGAAGTGCTCTCTCTAGCTGTCTACACAGATCAAATGAGCTGGATGCCTGCCACGTCTCGACTTCACTTTGCGCTAATCCGTAGCCACGGCCAGCTCCACAGCAATCCGACCAGGCCATCTGAGCAGAGGCAAAAATAATTCTCCTGGGCAGACACAGGCAGTTCCAGGACGCGCGTGTGAACTCCTTGCTACCGTCGGGAGGCAGTGGACTCCACGCCAGCTTGTAGAGGCCTCTGAGAGGACAGCGCCTGCTCCTCAGAGTGAAGTGGCAAAGCCGCTTTCTCTCCTCACAGCTGAAAGCCCAGGCCACGTAAGGGCCATCTAAACCCTTTCAGCTGAAAGCCAGGCCATGTACTGTTTCCGCTACCTGCAAGGAAACCGTGACATAGCTGGGGTCTGGCTCTCCAAAAGGCAGTCCCTCGGCTGGCAGGTGGCGTGGTGGTTAAGGGCACTGAACTCCCACATGGCTGACTGCGGTTCAAGTCCCGGACCTGGCAGCTTCCTCTCTCTCTCTGTCCCTCTCTGGTCAAATTTTAAAAAGTCAAATAAATAATTCCTTTAAAAAAAAAAAAAAAAAGAACAAGGATCAATTCACATCAAGCCTTTGTGTGTGTGTGTATGTCATAGGGCATGTGTGCTAGCAGGAGACAGAAAGAGAGAAAGGGAGAGTGAGAAAGCACCCCCGGGGGAGAACGCCACACGCAAACCCCTGTCCACTCTCCTCTCGGGATGTTGGTGATGCGCACACGTGTGTTCAGTGTGCTTTTCCAGTCCTCAGGTCCAGGACTCCAACTGTGCCGCTGGCCGTGCGGGACCCAGCCATCTTAACTACCATTCCCCTGGCTGGCCCCAAAAGCACATTTTTATTCACAGGCTCATTCTAGAGGAAATCTTACCCCAGCCCCCCCGAGTCCTCGAGCATCCATGAGCAGCTCGGGAAACCATTGTTACAGACTAGCAGGACCAGGCATCTAACGACACACCCAGAAGCCAAGTGGCATTGCTAAAAAAGACTAAAAATCTGCATGAGTTCTAACATCTATGTTGCTAGCTATGGTTTCCATGGAAACAGACATCTGCTCTAGGGAGGGAAAAAAAGGTGGGGGGGAAATGGTGTAAGTGCTTTAAAATAATCAGTGTTTTGAAAGATTTATATTTCTTTCCTGTCACAACATTAATAGAAATGCGAGATTTTTGTGTGACAATTTCTTGTATCAAAAAAAAAAGGGGGGGGGCCATCAAGTGGGTGGAACTGGTCTATGCAAACCTCCGATCCAGTACAAAGACTTCCAGATAAAAGCCTGAGTCCGGAGTAAGGACCTCTTGCCTGCGCGTCCTTCTCACGTTGCTTGCCTATCTGTCGCTTTTCCTTGAAGCCTTACAGCGGTCCCTCTCCAACTTCTCTAATGATTTCTGAGATTCCGCTCAGAAAACGACAGATGGGACCACCGGGCCATTTTGAAGCCGCGTTTGGTCTCAGAGAAGCTTGTCTGGGCTCAGAGTGAATTATTCTTGGTCCTGCTCACATGCTAAACGAAAACCACTTCCAGGGGCCGACCTCACACAAGAGCGATTGTTGGAGAAAATGCCCGACAAGCGTATTTCAGGCAACAGGGCACTGCGTTGGCCGGCTTTGTGCACTGGGACCTCACAGCCGGCGCATCCCTAGTGACCGACTAGACACCCAAGGCTTTCTAGGGTAGGTCTGTCCTGACGGAGCCCCGCAATAAAATAGAGGAGTCAGTTCGGCCTCGTTAGGGCCTCAGAGCAGGTGCGTTGGTGTAACGACCACCACCTGAGGAAGAGTCCCCGACACGGACATGGAAGGCGGGGTCTGGGAACCAGGGACCGTGTTTTCCCTCTTTTTGTGGGAAAAGGAGGACAGTCATTCCAAGACAGCCAGGGTCAGACCCATTTTCTTTGCGCGTCTGCTGTGGTTCTGATCTCCCCGAGCCAGGGAACAGTGACCTTGAGGCTCTGTTTGTTTTGCTTCTTTAAGAGCCCAGCGCCGCTCTGGGGAGCACGTGCTCCAAGGACAAAAGCAACGCTTAATGCGGTCTGAGCAGTCTACACGCTCTCTGCCTTCCCTGCCATCCGCAAAAGGCTCGGCCGAACAGATGGAGTCCGCGTTTAAACCGAGTGGCTTCGTTAGACCAAAAGGAGGTCAGATTCCAGAGCCTCCCGCTTTCCCGCGCAGGTCCCTGGTCACCGGCAAGCAAGAACGCACATAGTGAAAAAAGGGCCACGCCCGTGACCTGTTAGGGCTGAGTGGGTTAGGGACCACGGTCAGGTCACACTACAGGTGACGCTCGCGGGTGTCCGGGGTACGGTGCTCGGGACAGGGAGACTGCAGGGGCGTGGTGGCATTGTCCTGTCACAAGGGCGCGGGCGTCTGGCGCGAAGGTGCGAGTGGTGCATCAGAAGGGACCCTGCCCCGTCCGGGTGCTGCCCTTGGGGCGATGCGGAGCACGTGGCTCGACAGAGGCGGAGTCCAGACGGCCAAGGTCTGAGAGGTAGGGAGGGACCCCAGCCCCGCTCTGCCCCGCCCTTTTCCTAGAACCGGGAAGGCCGGTTCAGACCCAGTTAGAGGGGTCACTGCAACGCCCTGTCCCACGGTCACGCCGCCGACCCCGCCCCAGACTGGGGAGTCTCCCGCCCCCCAAGCACCCGCACCCCTCGCATTGTCCTTCTGCCCCACCTGCCCGGACTACAGTTCCCGAGCTGCTCCGGGGTCCCAAGAGGCGGGACCCCACTCGGATTGTGGGGGAGGGGCCGGCACGTGCCGCCGCTCTCAGCCAATGCGGAGCCCTGCAGGGGGGTCACGTGCCGCTGTTTGGCGCTTTTGTGCGCGCCCGGGTCTGTTGGTGCTCAGAGTGTGGCCAGGCGGCTGGGCCCGAGCAGGTGGGTGCGGGGCTCTCAGAGGAGGTGGCGGCCGGCTGGGGACAGCGAGAGGGACGCGGCTGGCGGAAGGGGCCGGGCGGGGGCAGCAGCCCCCTGCCGGGGGGCGGCGGGCGGGGCCGCGGGCGCCGACGGGGCTAGCGGGCGGGGGGCGCCCCGCCTTGTGTGTGGCTCCGGGCCTCCGTCCGCCTGCAGGCGTGGCCCCGCTGGGGTCCCCATTGTCTGGAGGGGCAGGGCGGCGCCTCCAGGCGTTGGCGTAGCGACCACCGCCCCACGACGGAGCGGAGCCCTTCGGGCCAGTCTGCGGGCAGGTGGGGCCGCGGCCCCTCCCCGGGATCGCTCTCGTCGGTGAGGAGGGGCAGCGCCCGACACCCAGCCAGGGCTATGCTGTCCCCGCGACCGAGTGGGGACAGCTTGTGGCGCGGCAGATCGGGGGTGGGGACGACGGGAGGAGGGGGCCAGTCGACGTCGGGGCTGCTCGGCTTCCCGGGGCCGCCCTGCCC